TAAGCCAAAGCAAGTACCTTTTCATTTAATTAATCTCTGAGGACGCGGAGGACGACGATAGAAATTTGTCTTTATTCTAGGTTGTATTTGAATTTTTCTTTCTTTTCGAGTCCCCAAAGATGAATTTCTATGTACATTAACAATAAATACGCAACGCTGATTTTTAGACAGTTAATTTATCATCATCCATTCTCTACATAACGAGTAAGTATAAGTTCATAAACAGCTGCGATTTACGTTCGAATTATATAAACGACGACGCTATGTTGATATTTGAACGTATACTTCCAAATTTATACATGGAAATCTTGAAGCAAAACGTGTTAACCACAGTAAAGTTGTGATTTTTTGATAGGTTAAAACGCGTGAGATGTTTTATATAATAAACTTGTCACTAGACACCACTATTAATAATAAAATATTATATAATATATTACGTCAGAGTATTGAAGATCTGAGAGARAAAAAAAGTCATCTTAAGATCAAGTTCACATTATTATTAGAGACCATCACTGCCGCTGCAACCATCGAGGTGAAAAAATTGTAAGGAAAAAAATTCAAAATGTATCAAAAAACTCATAGAAGTGTAGCTCCAGCCAGTTTACATCACTGTGTAAGACTAGGGTTTATAATATATTGAATTTTAAAATAAACAGTAAAATATTCAGTATAAATAGGTATACAATCAAATTTCTAATAATTTTCAAGCTACCATTACGTGAAAGAGAACAAGGTCGGTGCAATTGGAGGGGTTGCTACATGTACCCCCTCCCAAAATACCAGGGTCACGTGATCTATAGATCTTTTAGGCCCATCGTAATGCGTTGAATGTACTACGAATTATTTTTATAGTTGAATATCAATGCATTATACTAGTGATGAATTATTTATTTTTTCATCGTGTTTTAAGATAACAAATGACAATATATTAATCCGTATTCATATTTAAAAAGACGAGATATTTATTGTCTTGCTGCCACCTATTTATAAATTCATTGAATCTTAAAAACGGTTTTTATTATCCTTTATAGTATTTCACTGTTGATATGATTTATATCTTATATTTTTAAGCCACAAGTATACTAGGTATATTCGAATATTATACGATACAGAAACACGACTATACATTGGCTATCGATCGATAAACGATTAATATCGTCTATAGGTATTATTATTTTCTATACTATACTTTGTTCTGAGTGAAGCCACGCTGTCAAAAAATAGTGATTTTTGTTTTATTTTCATTTTCAAATTTTCTGTTACAACAAAATCGTTTCTAAATTCTGGTTTATAATGTTTCGTTTACGTCGGGATATACTGAGACTCTCAGATCCTAGCATCGATTTTAAATGTGATGTAGGTTTTGTTAGTGCTACTACCACAGCATTTTAAAATGTTTTTCATCAAACACAAAACCACCAATCTTGTAAAATTAAAATTTGTACCTAGCGTGATAT